AAGGCCTGTAAACTTTAGAACACTACTAAAAATGTACTTGTTATTAGAATTCAAATAGTGTTAGTATCAACTAAGGTCAATTGGAAAGAAATATGTGTCTTACTATTAACTAAAAAAAAAAAAAGTTAGCAATTCAGTTCTTTGCTAACTGAAATTGTGTTAACTTTTCTTACTTTACTCTCTTACTGAGGATGGAATTCAGCCAGGGAGATAGGAGCAGCGATATCACAGGCGTGAAATTGTGGTAGTTTTGGATAGGAGGCGAGGAGGTCTGCAGCCAGTCTGCTGGCTGACTGCTTCTGGCTTCGCAGACCCCTCCAGAGAAATGAGATTTTTTGAACTGTGTAGTCCATTTTGAGAATCTGAATGGTGATTTGGCAAGCACTGGGCGATTGAGGTGTGGCACAATAAACATTCCAGTGGGGAATTAGTGTGCAAATGAATGTTGGAAAATTTATCCTGCCAGAGCCTATGAACTCTCTGTTTTTCCAACATGGTCATCAGCTCTGAATCTTTCTTACAATAGTTGAAAACTCTAATCTAGACCTAAAGACAGTAGAATCCCCATTTTTCCTTCCTGTCCATTTCATTAGCAAGGTCTGGTGAATTCCAGCTGTCTTTGCCACTGCAGAGCCCTATAGAGTACAGAAGCAGCACCTCAATTAAATATGAAATATCAAGATAAATGTCTGAATAAAATATCCAGGACTCAGACAAACTTCCAAAACCTGCTTGTCAGCAGTGAAATGCCATTAAATCCTCTAGGAACTCATTAATAGATTAACATTTGGAAGAGTAATTACAGCTAGATTAGAACTAAGAATAAAGAAAAATAAAGGAAAATCCAGTAGCATCATTTCTCTAAACTCTTGACACAAAATGAAGATCAATACTATAAAAAAAATCAGAGGTAAGGAATTAAGGTCAAGATGATTATGTCAAAAATAGGTAAGCTGTTCATATATATTTCAAATAAAACTAGTGTGGATGCAACTGTTATGTAGTGTTTCATATTATTTGTGTGGAATACTACCTCACAGGGGATAGAAAAGGGATATTGAGGTGAAATCAAGGATGTATCTGGAAATTGGATGAGTTGATGACTTCAGTGCTGTTAACCTAAATCACAACTAAAATTAACAATGTCAAGCTTTGTAGCTACATTTTCTGAGCCAAAGCAAGACACTGATCTGTAGTGAGACAGAAATATATTACCCTTCAAAAGGATTAAATACTGCAAAAGTCTTTTTTGAGAATTTATGTTATAGCTCTGTAAAGGGAAGAGAAAAGATAAGATAAAGTAGGTACTATAGTTAAATAAATAGGTGAGATCTGGAGAAATGTTTTCATTTTTCATAAAATTCTCACAATTGTAAATTTTTTATATATAATTCATTACATTATAACCTGGAATATGAATCTTGCAAATTTATGAAATAGGAAGAAATACAAATGGAGAAAATATGACTTTATTTAGAAATGCTTCTCTATTACTGTGAGTGTACCTACTGTAGAACCATGCTGCACAGCAGTGTGCCGGTGGGAACTGAGCTATTTTCAAGAGGAAAAAAATGAAATATATGAAAAGTATCAAGGTTTTAAAATACGTAGGTGACAAATAAAATGAAGTCATCAATGTGTAAAAAAAAATGTTAAGGTTTTAGATTTGCAATTTTCCTATTTAAATGCCCTCATTGATTTGTTACAAATACTGTTAACCCTGTGTTTGGAAAATGGTGAGGACATTATCACTTGTGTTCTCATTTGTAATAAAATAGATTAACTTGCTGTGAAATTTTAACTAGGCTGAGACACAACAGTAGCTACCTAATGAACCAGAGCACATTGCTGTTAAGTAGCTAAATAGATGCATACTGATTACAGGACTGAAAAATGGATCTGTTTACTTGCAAAAAAGAGTCTGTTCATAGTGTTATTCATTATAGTAGGGGAAATTCAGCATTACATTTCCACACAAACATTTAGAAATAGACAATTTCTTGATCCATATGCAGTCTTACATGATGATACTCTATCCTTATTTGTAGTACATATGATACAGTGAAAATTTCAGCTCCTTTGTTGCTTATAGGGAAAAGTGTATCTTCCCTGTATATGTAAATTTTTGTAACTGGTAAGACATTAGATGACATAATCAACTAGTTTGCTTAGAAAGTGATTCACTGTGTGATTAAGAATGACATTATTATTTGACACTTTTATTTCTGCCTGAACATTTCAAACCAAGACCCTGAGTCTGAAGGCAAATTACTTGAAGCAGAGATTATTTTATAGCAAGAGACAATGGGAAATGCAGTTACCAGAAGGAGCTCAAATACTTTGCTTTTCCAAATCATCAGCTTTTGAATTACTCAGATAACTCCCATTTAAGATGACATATATGGCTGTTTGTGTGATATCTAAGTGTTAATTCATAGTCATATCTGTTCATAGTTTTTTTTGCAGAACAGTTGGCATGTCCTCTCCTTGGCTATTCATTTTCATGGTTGCAATAGACAATGAAATTTACTTAAACTACGTACTGTTCTGTAAAAGTAATCATTTCAAAATGATATCTTAATTGTAAATTGAGTACTCTTTGTGGTAAAAAGAGACGAAATGGTGCCAAAGAGGACTGTTAAAACTGAAATCCAGGCAAATAAAATTACAGTCAGAGTTGTAGCCTGTTAGCAGTAATCTATTTGGAAGCTATTATTTACACAAAGGTAAAAGACACATAGTATTTGTAAGCTCAGGATTGCATGTATATGATTCATAATTTATTTAGGAGAATACTTGGGGTAAGAATGTAACTTTAAGAAGTAACTTAATAAGCAACCCATCCACAGACTTAAGTCATTACTCTCTTTTACTCTCCTGCTCACCTCAGCAACCTCTAAAACCACTCTTTCGGAGACCGAGAAGATGAAAACACAGGAGACTTTAAGATCAGTGACTTTGACTTTTTTCCCCCAGCATTTGAAAAGTTGTTTGTTTAAAACCATTCAATTTTCAAAAATTTAAGAACTTGTGACTCAACATAATAGATTCATATCTATTAAAACTTTATAAACATTTTTAATTAGCATTCAAAAATACTGCAATTAAAAGTCTCCCTTTAAGATTTATTAGTTATTGTATGTTCATTAAATAACAGATAATTAGTGAAAGCAGATCTATTGAGGATTAACAGCTATGTAACAGATACACATCTGTTACATGATTTTGAGGCTCAGTTGTTATTTAATGTACAATAACTATCCTATTAAAAACACATTCAATGCTACGTTTTCAGCTGGTGTGATTGGAATCGGCAAATGCCAGCCCTTGCTATCAGGAGGATCCAATCTCACATTCCCTTTGCATCATTCTCAAATGTATCTGTAAATATGAAGATGGGTGTGGTTTAGAGAGAGAGTTTTAATGGGTAACAATATTTTTAAAATGTTGATCTTACTGCCAGGGTTATTAATGAATTACCTCTATAGGTTACGAACAGAAGCTATTATGCTAGCTATTTATAATGGAAAAACTATTAGAATCTACCATTTTCTTCCTAAAGCTATATTATTGATTTAGGATGCTGTCTAGCAAAAACTGCATAAAAAGTTCAGATGCTATTGAGTTTATTTTCAAAAGCACATGGTAAATTGCCACCAAGTAGCCAGATTACGTACTCCTAATGAAAAATCTTTAAGAATAGGTTAGAAAGGCAGAAAAATTGCCAAATTCCTTTGAGACAACTTCCCCAGATTACACTGTAATTGTGATTTTTAATGAGGTGGGGGCAAGAGGATCTTCCTTTTTAAAAAAAAGAAAGTAATATTTCAGTTCTGAGTTTCTACAGGGAACAGCTGATTGCCAGGGATGAAGGCAACTCCAAAGATGCAGTTTCTGGAATGCTGTAAATTCAGGCATCTCCTTGTTAGCGTGTCTCCATTGAAACTACACCTTCAAGAACTTGTAATAGAAGATTTAAAACATAGAAGGGATTGTAAGATAGTATCTAGAGTATCTCAGGCCATGATCTGTCCCGTTTAGAAGATTCTCATTTTTTGTTGTTCCTGGGAACAGGAATGAAGGGTACTAGAATTTTGAATTAATTCAGAAAAATTATGCATGTGGAATCACTGGGTTGGAAGGGATCTCAGGTGGTTGTATAATCTCTTGCCTTCCTCAAGACAGGATAAATTATTACTTATGCATCGCTTGTCTAACCTGTTCCTAAAGATTTTTACTGATGAAAACGCCACGGCATCTTCGGGCAATCTGCAAGTATAGATATACAGAACTGCAGAATTTCATTTTGCTAATTTTTTATCATTTCTTATCCTTTTTCTTCTCCTTACCTAAAGCACTATATATATTTAAATTAGAGGTTAATATCCAAGTTTTGTGTGCAAATGTACACATAAGAATTTGCAAGCACATTCTTATTTTTGTTAACCAGTGGTGCTTTTCATGCAAAAGTGAAGTTCTTACCAGTGCCACAGCTTTTAAAATTTGTCTGGGCACTACCCTCAGAAGATATTGATGTAATTTATTCAGGTACAGATTCTAGTGAGTTTACAAATTTGACTGCATTTAATGACTGTTTAGTCCAAATTGGAATTGTTTATTTGAAATGTGACTCATATATGGCAATTTTACTATCTATAGATTAAAAGTAGTTTGTGAAAACAATATGAAAGAACATTCCTTATGTTCCTATGTGTGAAAAAGTTAGAAAATAAAAAGTTATCGAGAAAAAAAAGAAGAGATGGCAAATGCTATGTTGTGACACAAAGGATGAAAAGCTGTGCCCATACACATTGCATGTAGAAGGCTATACTCTTTTTGGCTATAGAAAACTATACTGCTCTTTCAATGTGAATTCTGTTCACTATTTATCTCGGAAAGACCATTTGTTATTGCTGTTTTAGCCAACTTCATTTTTTCATTGAACTTCAGTGAAGTTCATGAATCAAATTGCACAGGCTTTGTTTTATTTCTGTTTCAAGGAAAGGATTCAAGACAGCCCTTCTCCAGCTCCGTCTCTAGAAGACAGTCAGCGGCCTGGGAGCCACGCTTCCTCCCATCAGAGCAGCAGCGTGTCCAGCTCGCCGTCCCAGTTGGACAACACACCAGACAGAATTGGTTAGTGCTCTGCAGCCTCACAGCCCTTTGCACTTACTGACCTCAAGAATTTTAGAAGTTTGTTGAGGCAAATATTTCTTTGCTTGGGAAACTCAGGAAATCACTCATTTGCTGAAAACACCCAGAAAGTTCATCACTATAGTTTGTTTTATTAGGTTCATCACTATGCAGAGCCCAGCCCCTCAAATTCATTCTGTGCCAGTATCCACCCATGCACAGAAGATATCACCCATTCTCTGGTATGACCAACTTCTCTTGCGTTCTGGAGTATGAAAGTGCCTCTGAAGGCACCTGGAATTGAAAAATAGCAAGATATCTTTTTCTTCGTATGTATGTCAGAAAAGTCACAGATTATATGATGGCTTTTCCGTTCAAAAAACCTCCTCATGCCCACACATTCCCTCATCAGCATGAGGCTGAGGGCTTTTTGATTTTTTTTTTTTTGGTCTTTCCACCACAGCTTTCACAGGCTGAGCATTATTGATCTTGTGTTTAAAATGCTAATTCTGTCTAGAGGAAGTTTAGATCCCATTCTTGGTGCTTCCAAGAGGGATCTAGGGCAAGTCAATTAACATCTCTTCACGTCAGTGTATGTCAACACTGTTGTCTTCACAGTGACTGGAGCCTATGCCGGCATTGCTGAGCTAGATTTAAACTACAAAAACAGTGCAGTCTATGTAAGTCAGTGTAGACTCCACTCCCATTAAATAACTACGCAGCTGCTTGCTGGGATTTTGCAGTTTTGACTCTGGTCCATGCAGCAGCACCATGGCACTACACAGCACAGTTGGCTCTACACAAACTAGTCAATGGAACCTAAGCTGCTTTGCCTAAACATAGGCACACACAGGGCAGAGACTAGAAAGTAGATTGCCCTCAGCTTTTTCATATGTAAAATAGGGTTAGAAATATACAGGACGAGAAACGTAACTTTCTTTAGCAACAGTGAAAAAGGGGCTTTTGTCCTCACTGTAGCTTTTGAAAGCTACTGTAACTGGTTTTATTAATAGTAGCACACACTGCAATCCTCTGGGCTCCAGAAATGGTGCTAAAAGTTTTTTCAAGAAAAGTAGGTTTTATTTATGTTGAACCAAACATTTCTCTGTGTTGAAGTCTAACGCTTGCTGTTGTAAAGATACGTATATATACTTTGTATCTATATGAATATATATTTTTTTTTTTTTACTTTTGCAATTTCAGAAAAAAAACCCACAAACTTTTCCTAAAATTTGGTGATTACGTTTTTAACAAGTGTCTTCAATGGAATAACTAGATTCTGTAATTGGTTGATTGCAGAGAAGGTAATGTTTTAATCAAATAAGAACAAAGAAAATAGACATCCTGAAATCATAAACTTAACACCTCTCACCTGATCTTGCAGGTGTTAAGTAAAGAATTTCTTTCAACACTACAGCGAATTGTTTTTTCGCTGTCATCTATCAATTTGGGTTACTATCTGTCTATCTGTATTTTTATTAAGCTTGCTGCTTTATAGATAATTACTAATACTTAAATCCTTCAATGTATTTTTCCCCAAAATTATTTCTGTGAAGTACTTTTCTAATTAGTTAATGAACATTTCATAAGAAATCACATTCATCTCAGTAGTAATTTGGGTTCTATCTTGGTGTCTTTGTTTAATCAACTTGAGCAAATTTGCTTTTGCTGCATATTTTACTTGGCTCTAAGTGCTGAACTGGGACAGTGAAAGGGTTGATTATGGACAATAAAAATGGTCAATTGCTTTAGAACTTATATAGTGTAAATAAATGTTAAAATACCAAAATATTGACAAAGAGGAAATATAATTTAATATTTTCATCTTTTATGACTTTTTTTTACTGACAGTGTTATATAGCTGTGCACTCTGATTTTTTTAGCTATGCTGAACAACAGCAGGGAAGGAGAACTCATTGATCAAGAAACTGGGACCAGCCTAAAAAAAATACAAAAGGAGAAAGGTAAAATTACAGACTGTTTTCCATCTCAGGCACTTAATTACACTTATTATGTGTTTTATTCCTTTTTCTAGTATTCTGCATATGCAATGGCATAATATTATAAATTTAAGAGAGCTAAGTGCCTAATTGCAATGAATAGTGTATCGAGTGAATTTACATGGTGTTCTCCTTAGGAAGTGTAAACAATCAGGTCTTTGGTTCTCTCTGTTTATATAGTATGGGGCTAATATTTTGCTGGTCTTTTGACTCAATTGTTTATGAAGTTCTTAGCAAATATTTGATTAATCACATGGTATTGTTTCTTTGCGTCCAGTGGATGTGTGTGACAACTACTCTAGTGCTGGTATGTAGGTGAGGGAAATAAGCCATTTTTTGTTTCTAATAATACTACATTACCTCACACGTGAGAGGCAGCAAGGGAAGAAATGACGTTTGGCCTGCAGTGATTGCCCTGTAGGCAGGGAAGTGTCTCCTCTGCTCAGTTCTCCCTGCAGTGGTTGTTGGGTACTGGAGAAAGTGAATATGTTGGTGTATGCAGGTAGGCCCTGGGGAAGTGTTGTAGTGACAGAGAGCGTGTGGCATCTGTGGCTGCACATCAAGGAAGAAGAAGTCACTTTGTTTCCTTGCAAATATAACAAAACAATAAATCCTATTAATAGGCGAGAGGTTTATTCTGTCAGTATGTACAGAAAGCACCATACAAAAGGAGTGCCTGCAAAAAAAAGAACATGGGATATAGTTAAAGAAATAAAAGAAAGCTGAAGGTAAGTGAATACTGGAAACATACTGCAAAGGCATATACTGAGGGAGTTATTAAGGTTTCAGAGTGAAAAAGACATGAAGGAAAAGAAAAAGAAGGAAGTGACCTGTCGTGGTTTAACCCCAGCCGGCAACTGGGTCCCCACACAGCCTCTCGCTCACTCCCCCTCAGTGGGATGGGAAAGAGAATCAGAAGGGTAAAAGTGAGAAAACTTGTGGGTTGAGATAAAGACAGTTTAATAGGTAAAGCGAAAGCTGCGCACAAGCAGAGCAAAACAAGGGATTCATTCACTGCTTCCCATCGGCAGGCAGGTGTTCAGCCATCTCCAGGAAAGCAGGGCTCCATCACGTGTAATGGTTACTTGGGAAGACAAACGCCATCATTCCGAATGTCCCCCCCTTCCTTCTTCTTCCCCCAGCTTTATATGCTGAGCATGACATCATATGGTATGGAATATCCCTTTGGTCCGTTGGGGTCAGCTGTCCTGGCTGTGTCCCCTCCCAACTTCTTGTGCCCCCCCAGCCTCCTCACTGGTGGGGTGGGGTGAGAAGCAGAAAAGGCCTTGACTCAGTGTAAGCACTGCTCAGCAGTAACAAAAACATCCCTGTGTTATCAACACCGTTTCCAGCACAAATCCAAAACATAGCCCCATACTAGCTGCTATGGAGAAAATTAACAATTCCAGCACATGACCAAAAGAGGAGACAACATAAGCTAGATGTACTTGTAAGTCTACTGTAAATATGAACATTTTATAAATGAAAACACAAACTGATTTATATTTTGATTGAGATGATTTTAGGTTGTCTGTAAAAATCAGACAAACTCATACACCTTAGGCCTGTGTAAATGATTGAACTCTCTGTATTTAGTGTATTTTCTGAGAAAACTAAAAAGGCAGGTATAGACAATTTTATGAGCTACTCAAGATAATTTGAAGGCTCCATGTGCCATGTGGTTCCAGACTTATATAAAATTATTTGAGCAAATTCATGTTTTTGTATGTTCAGCTCTATTCCTTAGACATCTGTGACTGATACAGTTATGGGTAGGAAGAGCCTGAAACTTCCTTCCTATATTTTATATTTTTGTACTCAACTCTCTCTCCTCTTGAAAGCAGAAGAAGCTGTTTTCTGTTCACTGGTTTCTCTAGGTATTTAAGCACTTTCCTCATGAACCCCAAAAGAGCCCTTTTGTGCCATTCTGAGATAATTTTCTGTCTGGATCATCGTGCTTAAATGCTTCCCTCTTGACTGCTGTTGGCGTTTGTGGACCAACACCAGAGGCCAAACAGTTATCAACCATACCTTCATTCCTAAGATTAAAAAATTACATTTCTGTAGTAATTACATAGGTGAGTATTTAATCTAAATCTGAAAGTGTAGTTGATTTTAATTTTGTTGAACTGTGCATGGTTTCACATGTTTAGTAATTTTTCAGAGAAACAATTCTATATCCTATGGGGTTCGAAGATGCAAATCATGTAGTTATTGGTATTACCAGTCCTGTCACTCAGGACGGATGAAGGAATCCAGTTTAAGAATCAGAAAAGACAATTCAGAAATCCCAAAAAGCATGAAAATAATTTAAACCCCACCACCTGGGGTTCCCAGGCTCCTGTGATCATTGAACATTCCTTGTAACATGTACGAAATCGTAAAGATCTGATGCTAACATTTTGTGTACCATAATTCACCTTAAGATTAAAGTTGTATAGGTTTATTCATTTCCTGGTCTACATTTTGCATACTATTATCTTCTTCAATTGGTTATAAACTGGGAAATATGTCTCTATACATGTGTTACTTCTGCATGCACTTACAGGGGTTTTTTTTAGGATTAACTTAGTGTTCAGAGATTCACCTGCATCAGAAAAAAGTGCTTCAAAATCATGAGACATTTTAAATTATCATTTAAAAGATACAGTAATGTTTCTGATATTCTACTTGGTCTGCACAGGTCAAGTTTTTCTCTGAAAATACGAGAATGAGAAATTATTTCTTTTTGTCAAGTAAAGATGTAATTTTCAAGTAATCCCACGGCTCCAGAACTGAAACCTTTTGATGACATCATAATGGGACAAATGCTGACATTTTAAAGGCACCAACATTGTATATCCAACAATTCCAAGCTGATTTTGCATTTGGCAGTGTGACAGACCTGTATTACACTTCCAGTTGGAATCTCTGTTTTATAGGATACAAGCACCCAATAATTGTTGGACTGCACCAGTAGGACAGAGTCAATACTTTGCTGCTGAAAATCCCTAGCCTATGTGTGCTGGGCCTTTCTGTCACCCCGTACAAGTGTTCTTATTCCTCAGTGACTTGTCTCACTCCCATATAGATTCTTTGTTCCTAATACTCTTATTATTCTCTTGTGTATAATTATTTTGGGCTCTGGTGCACCTCAGATATGTTGAATGTTTTTCACAGTCACTGAAGAGTGTGATCTGTGCTGGGTTGCTCAGCAAAAAATATATGTAATTTGTATACAGAACGACCTTTGTTTTTCAAAACCTGCCATTACGTTTACTAAGGCAAAATATATTTACCATGGAAAAGATTTTCAAAGTTATTAAGAAGGAATGTAGTTAAAATAAAAGTATCAACATTTATTAAGTATGACAAGTAAGCGGTTTATACAACCGTGGCAAACATATGTTTTCACATCTGTTTTGAGTAATATCATCATGATTTTAAAAATGATTTATAGCTCTGCAGGCCATAAAATGCCAGCTTTGCTGTAAGTTGGAAGTTTTCAAACAACAAAGAAATTATTGAAGGCATATATTGAACATGTTTTTGTGTTATACACCTTGATATAACTTTACAAATCTGAGCACTCTGTAACAATTAAGATAGCAACAAATGAAAATTAAGTAACTAAAATTTAGCAGTAGTACTACTTATGTGAAATCTTAGCAGAAAAACCAATAAAAGTTATTGTAATTATTATAGGCAAATACTGTGAATATCCCTCAGGATACACAATTTTTGTTTTTCATGTCCCATTTTAAGTGATCTTCGCACCAGACAAAAATGTGCCACTTTGTTCTCATCACAGTAATTTCAAGGTATTTAGGGCTAAAGAGAATATACCTTAACAGTTTTTCTTTAAAAGATAGTTAATATGAGGTTGTTCCAGTTATGTTGAGCTGTTTGCATATGTTGGTGGGGCAGAATTTACAGAAGTAGCGACTGTCTTAGCACAGAGGGGTTAGAGCCCAGTTACAGACCGTACCTTTCAGCTTTTTCAAGGAGAAATGCCATTAAATCTCAATTACTCCACATCCTTTCATCATCTTTTTAGGAAGTATGGTCAGGCTTAACATTAGAGGACAACAAAGTCAAACATCTTTATAGGTCTGCAGTTTTTTTTTTTCCTAATACAAAATACATTATTATATTTTTATCAAATGTCTTTAACCATTATGGCACACAAACATTTTGCCTGTGCTTCCATGTTAGGGTGTGAGTGAAAACCATATGAAGAGTAACCTGTACTTTATTTTGAAATGGCTAGTGAAAGGAAAGAGTTATAAAATCCCCCACAGAACATAGCCCCAAATGTTTACAGAAACTTAAACACAAATTCTTCATGATTGTGCTTACTTGCTATGTCTGGTTTTAAGCAGTAACATTTTACCTGCACAATTGCTCACAGAAACTAAATTTTAAATTAATCTGCTTCAGTATATATCCTGGAAAAAATCTCCATTGTATGGGAAGGGATTGTGTTTTACACGGCACTGTATAGGCTTTATAGAAACCTCCATATGAATTCTGGCATTAGGAAGGTTAAACGAGGCAGAAAAGAATTTGGCCATGCCTTCCAGTCAGATTTAAATGCTGGTACAATTATTCTGTTTGACTGCATGGCAAGAAATATTTCAAACTCCTCATATATAGGGTGGAGTAATAAAAGGCACTGGCCCAACTCTTGCCACAGTGAAATCAATGGGAATGTTCCAGGAACAGAGTTTGGCCAAAGCCTGGTATTTTGGAAGATCGCTCCCCAGCTAATACTACTGGGTATTATTCCAGGCAGGAATGGTACACGCTCACAGGCTGCGCCAGTGCTGTACCTCCTGGACCGGCGACATGCCCTGAGCCCCGGTGAGCCCGGGCACACGCCAGCCCTGCCCCTCTGCTCTGATTTTAGCAGGGGGCAAGCAGGACGCGTGGGCCCCGGCGGGCCACGGCATGCTTTGACCGGGTGTTCACATGGGTGTTTGGGC